AGATAGGTCATTAAAGTAGCATTATGAAATATGGTTCTGGTAATATATCTTATGAGAAAGTACAAATGAGTTAGTTAGTACCACTATATCAGAAAAAGAATATTAAGTCCTGGTATAGGCAAACTAGCGGCGGCAGCAGAACTTGGCTTGAGATACAGGTTAGTAGTACCTGGGTCGATAAGTGGGAGAGTTTATTGTAAATAATATAGAATAATCCGACAGTGTAATATCAACTTAGTCATGTGGTGAACCTAACTAGGCAGCAAGTTTCTGGTTTGAGATACGAGCTATAGAAAGGCCATCTTCACCAATTACGATTGTACTAATAGAATTTGTAAGGAGACTTGCAGTAGATTGTGTTTGCAGATACACCAAATTGGGAGCTCATTAGGAGGGAGTACCCGATGTACCAAATTAGAAGTTATGACTGATTATGTGAGACGTGGTGGAATATAGTGATTACTGGAAATAGATAGTTGTAAAGCAAAAATCTAGGTGAGACATGTGTGGAGCATGGAACATTCTAGTAGGTTTAGATTGTAGATAAAGTAGTCTAAGTCTCTGTAGTTCATAAAAATTAATATATATATAATTGTAATTGAGCGATAAGTATATGTTAATAAAAACCAGAGGCATGATCTCATCTTGATATTAAAAAAAAAAAAATCTAAATAATGTTGTTTATATTTCTGATTTTAGTATAACAGTATTATAATAATAAAATTATCTTATATATAAAAATATATATTAATCATTATCAAAATCAACAACTTAATTAACTTATTTAATTATTTAGCCAATTTTTATCAGATACTCCAGAATTTATAAAAATAGCTATAATAGATATTATATAGGCTATCTGAATAATATTAGCTATGACCTGAGTATTTAAACTCAGACTAGTTTGCAGACTTTGGATCAGACCCAAACTAGACTTAAACTTGACTAAAAAGTTTGAATACAAAAGTCTGAGTCTAGTTTGAAAATTAAACTAGACTCAAATTTGGCTAAAGTCTGGTTCAAGTTCAGTTTATAAAAGCACTAATAGAAATACTATAAGCTTTGCCAGATTTACTGCAAGAATAAAGAACCAGAAGTAGATTATAAAGAGATAAAGGTCTGCTTTAAAGCCTTAAATTATTATATAAATATATACCAGAAAAACTAGTTTATATAACTAAAGAAATAGTTGTCGATTAATATAGACCTTGGAGTATATAGATACATAAGGTTTAGATGGGTAACTTTCTAGTTAAGTTATAGATATAGCAACTAGTGTAGAATCTAGTAATAGACAAACTACTTAAATAGCTACTCAAAAGGTACAGATATAGCTAGATATACCCTTCAAATATATATAGTACAGAATAGCAAAAACATTCAATTTTTTTATATAAAGTACCAAATTTACAATTATTTAATTAATTTTGATTAGCTAATTTTATATAAAAAATTTTAATTGGTTAAAAAAATATATAAACTATTTTTTTTATATAGTAAATACCAAATTTTTAATTTTTAATAATGAGTATTAACCAATAAAATTGCTAGTACATAACTTGTACTAAATATGATTAGTTAATTTTTTTGTGCCAAATTTCTGCTTTACTAATAAAATTACCCAACTTTGATTCCTTATAACTTTGTAAAAAGCAAGATATTAAAAATCTGTCTTACAGATTTGTAGTTTAGTTTATAAATAATAAATCTATAAGAGAGATTTTAAAATAATTATTTGTTATAAAGTTATTAGACATTTAACAATTGCTAAAAAATTGAATATTTTTTGCTATCTTGTATTGTATAATGACTATTCTAATACAATAAAACATACTTAATCAAAAGATCATCTTAATACTGAAAAATATATACAGTCAACTCCCTCTAATACATGTTCTCTAAATGCATGTTCTTTCTAAATGCAGGTTTAAATTCTGGGCTCATATATATATTTGATCTCTATAAATACATTTTACTTAATTATTCTCTTAATACATGTTGCTAAAAGTCTGATTCCAATGAGATGCATTTAGAAGGAGTCGACTATATATATACAGTATTAACTTTTTATATAAGGACTTAGACCAATTTATTAATAATTTAAATTTGCTAATATTTTTTATATTTTATAAATAGCTACAGTAGTTTGATTTTTATATAAGGTAGGTATGCCTAATTTAGTATAGTTAATTATATAAATAGTAAATATTTATAGAATTTGTATAAAAATTTCAAGTTTTTTACTAAATTTAACACATTTCGACTTAAAATAAACTTTTATTTATAAAAAAAAAACTTAAAGTAAAAAAAAGCTAAATTTAATCTAAAAATATATATGCTTTTATAAATCAAGATTATCAAACGATCGTTCTAAATTGACGCACTGTAGTAAGAATGAAGTAATTTAAGATTTCTGCTTTTCAAGTCGTTTTATGTCTTTAATATGCTGCTTTTTCACCTTCGTACGTTCAAGTTCAGCTTTTTTTGCTTCTGGGCTTTTTGTTTTTGTGCCTTCTTGGCTTCATATGCTATTCATTTTTGGATAGCCAGCTCTTTTTTACATCACTTTTTATTGGCCACTTTTTCGGCCTCTTTCTTAGCTTCCTTCAATTGTTGTAAGGACTCTTTATTTGTAAGAAGCTGAGAAAGGGCAGGGTTTTTCTTTTTTTTTTTTTTGGTGACATTGACTCAGATCATTCTTCAACTTCCAGATCTTCGGTTGGTTGCGAATTATGATGCAAGGGATATTTAAGGACCAACTTCAAAGAACTTGTACTAGGATTTTTAAAGGTTTCAAGTTCTTTCTCTAATGAATTAACTTTTTTTTTTAGTAATTTAATTTCTGATACTAATTCTTTTTTAGTGGGTTTGGTTTGGAGAGGTGGGTATAATCTAGGACTAGGTTTGAAGAGGATTGTGAAGGCAAAGTTGGTGGCTTAAAAATCTGTAAAGTATCAGTTCGTTCTGTAGTCAATAAGGGATCTAGATGGTCAGGACCAATAGCATTGGGATTGAATAGCCAAATTCCAGTTGTTTTGAATGTATTGTATATGACAATAGATGTGAAAGGTGTAATATAGGATGGTCCTAATACCTTAGCAAATGTATGCTTTGTTACAAGCTTGCCACTATTATTAATCTAAAACTTTTCACACTCTTTATTATATATTTTTTTTTAGTGTGGCAAACAGTAATTCAGCTGGCTGTAAAATGTGAGTGGTATGAGAAAGAAGTATATAAAGAAGTATATTGTGCTCATGACAAAAGTTGATACTGGTGTAATTGACATGACTCTTATAACTATCTAAAATTAGTAAAACAGGACGTGCAGGTAAAATAAAACTAACAAAATATTCTATATATTTTTGAAATAGATATTTCTGCATGTACCCTGTTTTAGTAAACTCTATAACAGAGCCAGCAGGTGCATCTTTCATAAGACCCAGGATTGTTTATTTGCCTTTAAAGATGAACAAGAGTGGAATATATGTCTCAGCTGCTAAAATAGTTGGGCAAATAGAAATATGGAGTTGAGTCAATAGAAATCAAGCAAATTTTTTCTAAGTAAATTTTTTTAAACTTTAAACAATAATAACTTAACAAAAACTTAATCAAATTTAATAAATTTTTTTTTAAATAAATTTTACAAACTTAGAATTTATTTAAAAAAATTTTTATTAAATTTGATCAAGTTTTGGTTAAATTATTAATATATAAAGTTTTAAAAAAATTTAATAAAAATAATTTGCTTGATTTTTTTTGACTCACTCCCATATATTTGTGAAAATTGCTGTATAAAACCTGATGGACCTGATATGCTCCCTTCTTTGCTATAACCTTTTAAGATTCAGTGCAATGACAAAGCCCATTTCATTCTAAAAAAAAAAGATCATAATAATAAAAAACAATCACAATAAAAAAAAAAAAAAGAAAAAAAAAGGAAAGCCACAGCAAAAAAAAAAGGAAAAAAAAGAAGGCCGCAGCAAGAAAAAAAAAGGAAAAAAAAGAGAAAAAAAAGGAGAAAAAAAAAAGAAAAAAAAAGAAAAAAAAGAAAAAGAAAAAAAAGACTACACCATATTCCAAATTCATTTGGCAGTAAGTGAGTATTCTTGAATGATTTTTTTGAGTTTGTCAAAGTGATCCTTAATAATAATAGGGTTTGTCCTTTGTGCACAGGCTTTATTTAGGGCTTGCAGGAAATGAAGTGAAAGTTTCATGTGATTTTTTATAAAGTGTTGCCACTATTTTTGTCCTGGTCTACTTTTATTAAAAGGATAAGACCTTCTGTCTTGATGAATGATATCCATAACACATTGGTTTATACCAGATCTGGTCAGCCCAAAGCTGAGCTTTCGCATGTTCAGGCAGTAAACTACAAGCTGTTTCTCTTCATGTTCTGTTAGAATTTTAACATGGTCTAGAGAAAGGAGAAGACTGCCATTTTGATGGCACGTCTAAGGGCAGTTTCTGAAATACTATAATCTTACGCAATACTTTTGGTGTTTGGGTTAAATCATTTGGTGAATTTTCAATTGCCTTAAGAGCATTAGTAATAGTCTCACATCAGATTGTATAATCACTATGTTTTGGTATAGTTTTATTTAAGAATACAATAAACGATTTCAATTTTTTTTTTTTAATATTTGCGTAACTGTATTAACATTAAACTATTTATTGTTATCGTACTTAGCTTTTATATTATATTTAAGAAATACTTTGAGGTTATATATAATATTGTAATCTGTAAATTTTTACGATCAAGCTGCTTATTTGGTACCAAATAAATTTTAAAATCACAATTTTTATTTTACCCGAATTGTTGATTTTATATTAATTGTATTTATGATTTTGTACACATCAAGTTTTGTGCATGTGTTAATGAATGAAAATAACATGCCACGAGATTAATTACAAGTTGGGCAAAGTGCATAGGTTTTGAAAAGTTATTTAAATTGGAACCGCAAGACAATAAATGTGCTCAAATATACAATCTTTAATAATGCGCCAATTAATTATGACTATTTTATTAATAGAGCATCAAAATTATGCTAAAATAGAAGATTTGTTCAGCTTATTGATATGAATAACTTTAGTTAATATATTAGGATCGATTTTCTTAGTATAAAATTGATTTTTAAGTTACCCGAATTGGAACCACAGGACAAATAAATGTGCCCAAGTTTGTAATCTTTAATAATATCAATTAATTACAATTATCTTATTAACAGGATATTAAAATTATATTAAAATTGAAGATGCGTAAGGCTTATTGATATGAACAACTTTAATTAATATACTAGGATTGGTTTTCTTAGTACAAAATCGATTTTTAACAAGTTGTTTTTTTTTTGTCAAAATAGTTAGCAAAAAAAATTTACATAAATGATGATATTTCATGATTCGTCGGTTTTATTCATGTGATTTTGGTATTGTTAGATTCGTCTCACCAAAATGAGCCAAAATCATGTGAATACAATTAACAGATCACAAGATACTATCAATATGCTGAATTAGGCACTGCACCAAATTAGGCATACCTACCTTATCTTTTTATTTCTATTTGATTTTCTTTTATATTTTTTCTAATATTAAGATAGCTTTTTAACTACTTGCTTTTATTCAATTATTAGATTAATTTACAACTGTATATTAACTATCTCTTTTTAGAACAGTATATATAGTATATATATTAGAGAGTATATACTAGTTATATATATAATTTTTGGTAGTTTATTTAAGGTAATCTGCTTATTACTAAGTTCTATACTAGTAGCTACACCTATAATTTAACTAGGTAGTTATCTATTTAAACTTTCTGTATATATATAAAGTATTTTACAAACTAAGCAAAAGGTATTATATTTCTTATTTTTATATATTTAGTTTAAAATTTTAAAGCAAACTCTTCTAAAAATTTTAGAGCTATTTATCCTTGAAGACAAACTTGCTAAAACATTCTATATCTTATATACAGCTGATCTAGATTTCAATAACTTATTTAAATTTTGAGAACTTGTATTTGCAATTAGTTTTTTGATCTCTGTTAGGGATATGCTATTTATTATACAATATTTTTTACTTAGTAGCTAACTTCATCTATGTATAGTATAATCACTCCTAGCTTGATTCTGATTAGTTCATTTAATTAATTATTAAAAAAATTTTTAATTTTTTTAAAATTGAATAACTTTTGATTTGCTGGTCTGATTTGAATAATTTAACTATCAAAATATTCATCATGATGAGACAATTTTAATAAATCCAAAATTACTAAAAGCTAATTAAGATCATTAAGATTAATTGTATAAGTTTGTATATATTAGAATTAGGTTTACTATATATAAAATAGTACAAAAACTTTAATGATTTTAAGATCTTATAATTAGATTTTAGCGATTTTAGATTTATTAGAATCATTTCATCAAGATAGATATTTTGACAGTTAAATTATCCAAATTGGACCAGTAGATCAATGTTATTTAATATTAAAGATTTATTTATTTATTTATTTTTTTTTACTTGGCTAGAAAAGCTAGTGAAGCCTTTATTAGATATACTCATAAGTATATATATAATTTTTGAACTATGTTACAACCTAATACTAGACTATGCTAATCTAATTAGCTACCTGATATTTATCTAGCTACTCTTATAGATATCCAAACATATTCTAATTATACTACTAGCGTACTATGACCAAGACTAATACTTGCAGTCAGAATACCTCCCAACTTTGGAGAAGCATTGTTATTAAACTGCTAAGCTGGTGAAGAAGGATCATACCTGTACTAATGTTACTTTTGTATTCTGAAACTACTATATCTAGCTAAGCCTATATTCTCTGCTTATACCACCTTGCTTCTATACAACTTTCAAATTGGTAATATTCAGGTTATAGATCTTTATAATCTTCTAGTTTGGTATACCATATTATTGTTTTTTCTAAAGTATTCTGACATTGGTTCAGAATTTGCAAAAACTTGTATTTCAAGCCAGAAACTGCTACCTAGTTAGGTTCATTATATGACAATATTAGTATTTTATTATTAGATAACTCCTACTACTTATCTGTTCAGATACTACTAACCCATATCTCAAGCCAGATTTTGTTGCCACAGCTCAACTGCAGATGCTCCAGATCTTAACGTTATATAGTTATTAAAGATTTATTTTTTTTTTTTTTTGGTGTTAAGGTGGCCTCTTGGCCGGCTCCTTTTATTCAGTTATAGTTAACTTTTACAATATG